TTTGTAGATCCTTTGGCAGCTCCAGAATCGGAAATTCTTTTTTGACATAATCAGAAGTTCAAGCTTACTTTTATAAAATTGCTCTAGCAGTCTGCAAAAAATAATAAGCCGGATCCAATTAGAAGATTAAAAAACAAAGCAATCTGCAACATTAATTGAAATAGATAATTAGATAATTTTAGCTTAGCTTATACCGTCCATTATACATTAAACGCGCATGCGCAAAGGCATTATGCGTTTACACATGCACAGAAAGTTTGTACTTTTATGGTCCGGATTATAGATCATTCCAGATTATGGACGTCCGAATTAAAAACTTTTGACTGTATAGAATGTAGGTTTCTTTTAAAGAAATATTGTGGTAGTTAGCATTAATTTAACCATGATAACTTTTCATTTGTTAAGTACTTATTGTAATCGTGTTCTTCAAAAGTTAAATTGCTCACATAATTTTGCTCTCTTGATTTTCAGATAATAAAATAAGTTAGACAAAGGGAAAGGTATGCAAAGAAATATGGTGATACAGTTCATAATATAATTTCTTTAATTTGTAAGTACTGTATATTCTGGCGTATAATGCACACCTATAATTTCAAACCATATTTTTTCATTTTTATTCGCCGTATAACGTGCACTCTTTTCTTTAAGAAGAAACCTGAAAGATACATGCGTGATGCTCATATCTTTTGAAGTCATTCATTCGAAAATTTTTACCAGACTTTCGAACAATTTAGATGATAGGTTTTAAGGGGAACAATACTTGTGGAGAGGAAATGCTTGAAGAAGTGTAAATAATTTTGCAAAGAAGGAGGGCTGCATTCAATGAAGATGTGCACAAGAATGTTATTCTACAGTTTGTACATTAGAGGGACATAATTTGGGGTAAGAATGCACTTCCGACCTGAATGAATTCGTGGAATTAGAAGTCAAATCTTTTCTCTGAATGAATGAAAACACAATAACTAATATGCTTTACATAAAGGAAATTGTCTGATAATGAAAAATTACCTTAGAATGAAAATTTTTAATTTCATAAAGTGTGTCATTTCCTTTAAATAAGCAACATTTAGGTACATGTAGAAATCTAATTTATGTATCCTCTTCTTTTCCTTATTTTTAAACATATAATTTTTATATCCAGCATATAACACACACCCGTAAATTTCGACCTTATTTTTTAAATGCTGATTATTTCATTTTTCTTCTTTTTTATGCTTTTGCTTCCATTGAAGAATTTGATGATGGAAACATAATACAGTCAAAAGTCGTTAATCTGGACTCGTCAGGACTTCGGCGATTCCGGATTATCGATTTCCGGATTATAGATCATCAGTTTAAATCTCGTAAGATGGCATGCAGAAATTCTAAAATTAAAAATATGAAACCATAATTTATGAAATAAAGAACAATTATGATCTAAAGGGTATCAAAATTTACAAAAAGAAAAAGCTTAATATTTATTTGTTTACTTTATTAAACATTTCTTTCAATGTAAGTTGTTTAAGTTGCTTCATTTTATGTGATAATACTTTCTCTTTAATTCTTTAAACAGACATAATTTCTTGTTCAGTTACAAAGTTCCGTTGTTCAAGTCCCGTTAATTGCTGTGCCGAGAATACTGACTAACTTGTCAATCGAAATTCTTTCGTTTTCACTAACCTCTCTGTCACGTTCTTCATGTCTTTATCCATTTTTTGCAGCAATTCCACTTTATGTGTGATGGACATCGAAACATACTTTCGTTTTGTACTATCCTTTGGGAGCTCCAGAATCGGAAATTCTATTTGACATAATCGAAAGTTCAAGTTTACTTTTATAGTATTGCTCTTACAGTCTGCAAAAAAATAATAAGCCGGATCCAATTCGAAAATTAAGGAACAACGCAATCATCAACATTAACTCAAATAGATAATTAGATAATTTTAGCTTACACCGTCCGTTATACATAAAACACGCACGCGAAAACGTATTCTGTGCTTGCGCACACGCATATGTGCAGTCGTAAAAGGTCTTGCGTGCAAGCGTAAACGCCTATGCGCATGTGTCAACGCGGCGCATGTGCAGAAAGTTTTTAGCTTTGAGGTCCGAATTAACGACTTTTGACTAGTCATTCTGCTGCACTTGTCGTAAGTATTATTTCTGTAATAAAATTTCTCTTTTCTACCTATACAACAAAAACCTGATGAACCTTTCTCAGAGAACCTCAAGAATGGATGAGATACAGTATACATTGGATAGAATAAAACTTAATAAATGCTGAAGAATTTTCATATGAATTATTAGCACCTGTCCAGCTATGTAAAACAATCACATTTGAAGTCTTCAGACTGCAGTGTAACACTTGATAGGATTTTCCTTTAAAGAAACTGGAAAAGGGTGTGAAAAAAAAGTTTCTTTTAAAAGTTTTGTTAATAGTCAATTTTAGCATTAGAAACAATCTCTTATTAATAAAAAAAAAACCCCTCTAAAACTATTCATAAAAATTACGATACTTAGGTATTATCCTCTTGACCATAAAAGTTGGATACCATCGAACCATGAAATTTACTAGAAATCCCAGCTAAGTTGCGCCAGTTGTTCCTGTGGAATCTTGAAGAAAGTGATGTCTCTGTATTTAATAATAACAATATACCACTCAAGTATTACTATTTTGTTAGGATTTTACAGGAAGCTCTACATAGAACTGTTTGAGTACAAACTTCTTGCAAGTAGTTGGTCCAATCTATTACTGTTTTGTCAACAATATTCAGTAGTTCTTTTCCCCATTCAATCCGTGATAATTCTCTTGATCATCTGTAAATGAACAAGACAGCAGCTACAGATGTAATTCTTCAACCAACAAACCATTTTCCTTTTGGAATGGATATTCTATTGTCACAATTTTCCATGTTGCATTGGATTGTTTATCAATTTTTAAATAATATATGTGTGTCCATTAGTATATACTTTTTTTATGCTAGGATACTATAACACTGAAAATGCATCACTGCTTGCCTCAAGCAGTAGATGGCAGATCTCAAATTTTAATAATTTTTTTCAAAATGCAAGAAAAATATACAGCAGTAACAGTATTCTCTGTATTTTTGATCATAAAAGCAAAGTGTGGCATATCAATAATCAAACAGGGTTATATAAAACAAAATTGCAGATATTATTGACATGATGCTTATCCATAACTGGCACTAAACACACTGCTTGATGACTGCTTCATAGTCATTGGAATAATATGTAAATACCAAAATTAGTATTTAGAAAAACCAGAATTAAATGCATTTTTATTTCAGTAAGTCAGTCATACATTATTAACAAAAATAGGTACTTTTCCATTATACACCTGTCATGCATTTTCTGGTACTGTTGTAATAATGTGTGTATTTAATTGTTTATTCACATACGTACATAGACCCTAAATGGTGCTATCATTGCATCTGGGCATGTGTTTGTTTTTCCTTTCCTAGGGGCGAAAATGTGTGGCAGGTGCATAGCAAAAAAGTACCCAGAAGTGTTAAGAACTGTATTTACTGCTTTTAAATATTTTAATTTGTTAATTAATGACAGATTAAATTTGAAAGATAAACATTTTGTGCTCTGCCGAATGGCAGTACATTGGTGATTAATTTGCACAAAATAGGAATTAAATCTAACACAAATTGAAAATTCATATGAGGTGCATATGTTCAGGTACAGGGACAATACATTTTCAAAATGTGGTGGCTGTAGCTGCCATTATCTTTTTGTTGTGTGACAAACTTGTATAAACTTCTTTGTGTTTTATAAAAAATTGATAGATGATATTGTGGCAGTATTTTTCTTTAGAAAAAGTTTATTTGTGGATTTAATTTAACAGAATTACTGAGAAAAAGAGGTAAAGGTTCCTGTTCAATAAATGAAAGAAATGCAAATAAGTTTTAGGCATTAAATATGCAAGAAGTGTTTGTAAAACATAGCATGTGAATCTTAGTATTCCAAAATGGAGCAGTTTTCAAGCAGCAGTATTTAAAGTACATATTTATTTTAAATTTAGAGCTACCTTAGTCATTATAATAGTCAACAGTCGTTGACTAATAAGCCAGTGTTGATGGTTAAAGTTTCAAATTGCCCACAAAGTAGGCTGTAATGGGTTCAGTAGCAGCACAAAGGGTTTCTTGATCAGTTGCAGCAACATGACGTATTATGCTTCCTCTTAATTCAGGCATAGTCCGCATGATTCTTCCATAGACACAATCTTTCAGGAATCCCCACAATAATTTGTTTTTTTTCAGTGGTGTAGCTAGAGGAGAACATCTCTGGGTGCAGCATCAAGGGGGTGCCAAATTGATGGTATAAAATTTTACAATTGTTTTCCTTTATGGGTAAACAGGAAGGGGTGCAAAATCTTCAGTTGTCCCCAGGTGCCGAAAACCCTAATTACAGAACTCTTGTGTTTCTTTCTGGTGCAGGATCAATGTATTCCTTGCAGTGTAACTCTGGGTATTTTTTTGAGGATAAGATGGTAATTATGATTGATAGGCTCAACCAGCTCTGATGTATGTTAAATTAATTAGTACCTGTTCATAAAAACTATTGTGAAATACACTAAAAATAATAATGCTGTTATATTTTTAAAAATTTTGAAAAGACAATAAAGTACACACTATTTTAAATTTTGTTTAATAATAAAATGTATTCAAAAATAATGCTTTCATGTACTAAAATTCATTTAACTATAATGTATCATTTGATTGTAAAATTACCTGAAAAATTTGATTGTCTCTTGGGTTTTTACTAAAATTTTAAATTCTGTGAACTGAGTGAAAATAAAAAAAAAAGTTACTTAATATTATGTGTACCATTTCTTTGCCAAGCTAGGGAGTTCTCTATGTTCTTTCGATAAATGAATAGTATATTTCTTTTTAATGGTGGATATAAAAGAAATTTTTTCTGACTAGTGTTAGGAATTCTTCATATTTTTATGGATGTGATGTTGAAGTAATTATTTTCTATTTTTTTTTTTTTTTTAGGTATGAGTGTGGGACATGCATATGGAGGTCTGGCCAAAAAATTAGTTCCTCCTCATCTTATTCCAGACTTAGAAATCCTGGAACAGAATTTCAATTTTGATAAAACATTCCTGGAAATTATTTTTAAATGTTTTGACCAACAGAGTGACCCATTTACTTATGCTTTAGATTTGATGTTTTATTCTAAAGATTTCCCAAGAGGAAAATCTTGGTCATTATCTCGAGCAGTTTTAGAATCATTAAAAAAATGGTGTGAGCAGAATGATGTCTCAGTGTTTCTCACTAGAGAACAAAAAGCTGATGCATTAGATCGAGTTTTACAACAAACTAATGGTACTTTAGTAGGATTAGTATGTGAAATTTTTAGGTTGAAAGAAGACTGTGAATATTTTAAACTAGTAATTAAGGATCTGTTGTCAAAAAAATTGTACAGAGAGGCATGTATTTTATCTCAGTTTACTTTGAAATTATATTTTTACTAACATTATGAGATTCATTAATTACTATCTGTTTTAAAATATATACTGTGCCAATAAATTTTTACATTTTATTCCTTTATTCTGTTTCTCCAAATATATGTAGAATACTTCAGATTTATTTTTTCAGAAACATGGTTCGTAAAGTATCCAATAATGCATCATTTTCATTTCATTCGTAGCTGATATGTATTAGGGTTGATTTTTCTTTTCTGAAGTATTTATTTCTTAAAAGCTGCATTTTAGATTTGCTCTTTCTGTGCTTACCGTTATGTACTATTTTATTTGAAGCTTTGTTGGTAGTGAATGTATGCATTTATAGTAGCAATTATAGTAGTGGTATATCTTTTGAACTATAAGGAAATTTCCATTTCATATAATAATTGTGAGGTTCCTGAAATCTGTTCGTTGAAGTGAATGCTATATATGTACTTTATATGATATGATTTTATGTTTTGCACTTTTTTAACATGTGTACCATGTTTAATTTTTTTGAATGTGAAACACCTCTAAAAAGTCTAATTCACCAATGGAGGATGTTTTTTGATAATTTTAGCTGCAGAAAAATTGAGTTTCGGACCAACAATGCTGGGCAACAGAGGACTTCTGTGTCTCCTTTTTTCTAACATATGCCTCATGTTCCTTAATGGAAAATTTTAAGGCTTTCTTAATTTGACCAATGTAAATTAAACCACATAGGCAAGGAATCGTGTAAATATCCAAGCAATTCTATTCGGAATGGGATCTTTGAGTATGGAACTCAAAATCTTATTGATAGGAGAATCAACGATCTGAAAGTTAAATTTCTGTAAAATACATGCAATTTTATAGCTAAATGATGGAAAGAAAGGAATTACAACAGAATTCTTATAACCTACTAAAGCAAGAGTATGCGTTTTGGTGTGATGAGATGAGAATTTTTTTACTGCTTGATTTATAATGTTGGGTAAAAAGGCACTGCCAATAGCTACTGCTTTTAAATAATTTAGTTCTTGATCAAGAGCCAGTTTGGTGGAGCAAACATGAAGTGCATGGAAAACGTAAGAATAAAATGAAGCTGACTTTTGTTTAGTTGTATGACTTGTTTCGAAGTGTAGTGGAAGGCAAACCGATGAAGCTTTATGGTAAACCTTAGTACTGAAGTCTGGATGTGTTACGTGTGGCCAAAATGTCGAGGAACAGAACAGAATTGCATGTCTCAAGTTCGAAAGTGAATTGAATAGCAGGATCAATGGAATTCATTGTTGAAAGAACTTTATTTAAATTATATTTATTACTGTCAAACAGGGTAAATGTATCGTCTACGTAGCGGAACCATACCGGGAAGTTTCAAGTTTCTAATAATTTTGATTCATAATAATGCATGTAGATATCAACCAGGATGGGACTGAGGGGGCTTTCCATGGCTAATCCCTCAGTTTGCTTGTAATACTTATTTTGAAAAACAGAATGTGTTGCTTTCGAATAGAGTTGAGTGAGGGAAATTAGTTCAGCAGTTTCGATGCAAGAGAAAAGAAAATCACAAAGTTCAGTTTCTAGACATCTTAATGCACCCTGGAACTTTGGTGAATAATGATTTTACGTCAAAAGAAACCATGAGTAAATTTCTAGGAGAAATGCTTTTAACTTTTTTTACAAACTCTATTGAATTTTGTATTGTGTAAATGATATTATCTAATAGAGTTGAAAATCTAGGAACTAAATATTTAGCTAACCAGTATGAGGCAGTGCCTAAATTTGATACAATAGGGTGGAAAGGAATATCACATTTATGAATTTTGGAAAGAGCATATAATCTGGCACAATTCGCAACAGATGGGATAAGTGACTTTTAAATTGTTCGAAAGGATTCGTGAAGATTTGATCGCAGTTTCTATTTTTGAGAGGTCTGAAGGTGAAGGGTCTTTAGAGATCGGATTATATGGTCCTTCGTTTAAGAGTTTAATGACATGATCGATGTTCATGTCCATGACGACTATCTGGCCACCTTTGTTTACCTTTGAAATGATAATGTCCAGGTTAGAATGAATTTCATACACTGTAGCTCTTTCTCTTGCACTTAGATTTGGTTTCAAAGACTTATTGTTGAATTTCACATCATGAGCAATAAGATGCCTAATCACTTCTTTCTGTGTATTTGAAACTTTACTGAATCTGAAAGCTTTTTCGATAGGAGCCAAAATCTTTGGAATCGAGGGTTTTGAGGTTTATGAGAGGTTATAATTATATTTCAGAATTCTCTCTTGCTCTTCTGATAAACAAACACTGGAAATATTAGCTATTGGCTTAATATTTACAATGGGTAGATTTTTTTGAACTACAGTGAAACCTTGAGATACGAGGAAAGTATGAGTGAAAAATCTGTCTCTAAATACAAGCATTGACTTGAGAAACAAGCAATGAGCCACGCTGTTGGTATGCGTGGCACCATTTCCCAATCCAGCTTGACTCGGGGTATCTCCTCAGCAAATCACTCGGTTTTCTTTGATCTATGTATTTGTGCACTTGTGAGTCAATTGTTTATTATATTTAATGTGAAAATAATTATTTCACGTTGCATTACGGCCTTTCGACATCGATGATTTGCACTATTCTGAAGAAGCGGGAAGAAATTAAGAAACTCGATGTAGCCAAAAGAGTTACCGTTACTTCCAAGCACCGTTCAAAACTCCTAGAAGATGTTGAGAAATTGCTGTGGTTTAACGAGAAGCAGTTAAAAAGTCGGTATCAGAAGCTATTACAAAGGTAAACTACAGTTATATTATTAACCAGTGTTATTTATTAGAAAATATAATTTTTTATGTTGATATTTTTGGGGGTATGGAACAGATTAACTGGATTTCATTACTTTTAGTGGAGAAGTTTGATTCTAAATACAAGAAATTCACTATACGAGCTTAGTGCTAGAACGAATTAAACTCGTATCTCGTGGTTCCACTGTACTTAAATAGAAAGACTGTAAAAGAATTTTTTTGAATTTAAATGCAAGTTCTAGATCAAAACTTTTGTTCAATGGCAATGAATTAGCGAGTTCCAGGTGAAGCTTATATAGCTCATGTTTAACTTTGAATTAACTGTTGACGTGTATCCCTTGTGATGAACCAAAGCAAGGCAAATTTGCAGATTAAGAGAATTCTTGAAACACGATTGGAAGATTTTTGATTAGATTTGATTTGAATGAAATTGGGGATCAATTTTTTATGTTTACACTTTAGAAAAAGTCAAGGTGATTCAGAAATTTCTATGTTTGGTTGTCCAATGAAGCTGGGACTTGCTAACTCAGTTTTGCCATGTAATTTAATTAGTAGCATGGCCACTGAAGAGGCCTATTAATAATGAATTCAGGGTTAATACAGAAGATGAAAGTACTAATCTCAAATCAATAGTTGATTTAGAATCGCAGGATAATAATAATACATGTGAAAAAGAATCATGCATAATGGTGAAAGTAGATACTGAAATTCAAATTGGAAAAAAAAAAAAAAAAAAACAGATATATGCTCTGGCACAACGAGTGTGATTATCAACAAAGTTCGAAATATGAAAGTGTTTCGGGAGACAGCTAAGGAACGATTTGAGCAGTAGGCAAAGAAGATGAAGACTGCGTCTACTAAAAGCTTTCTGAAACCTGATCTCGGAGAAAATAAAATAAAAGTACCTGATAATGATCGATCGAAATTGGATCCAAAATCAGTAATAGCCATTATTACAGATATTAAAGATGACGAGTTTTATGTTCTTGCCACTAAGTTTGATAAATTAAAATCGCTGTACACAAGAAACCAGTTTACCTTTCGCAAAGAAAATTTTTTAAACATTGAAGTTGTTGGTACAGAAAAAAAAGTGTTACAAGTAGTAAAAAGACTTTTTTTATTTGGAAGACAAGGACTCAGAAAATGCAACTGTTCAAAGAAGTGCACTGTGAAGGTGTGTTTGTGCAAATCAGCTGATCTACTTTGTAATTCAAAATGCCATAAAAGTCAACCTTTTTGTAACAGGTAGTAAGAAGTATTAAGGAAAAATGTTCTACATTTTCCTTTTTTTTTTTTTTTTTATTATTGAAATCCCTTCAGTAGTTATCGAGAGAATTGTGTATTAGTTCAGCTTTTTAACATGGGATCTTATTTGTGAAATGCCATAAATATTGCATTTTATTTTTTTATTTCTTGTAACTCTTTGAAAAATAATTGTAAGACAGTTTCCTCAACATAATCTTAAATCATACCTTATTTTGATCACATATACAACTTATATTATCAATTAAAAATTAAATTCTCTTTTAACCTTTTGAGGATACACTGTATACAATGTACCTGCGAATGGAAAATCCTATCTTAAGTAATCCCTCGTTTCGGGTGTTTTAGCAGAAGCCATTGGTAACTCCTAAGATTTACTGCAAAAGCTTGGTAAAAGCCGGAAATTGAATCATATTAAAGCATACTTCGGATTTTATCAAGCCACTTTGGTAAAAGCTAGGTTTCACTAGGCTTTTACAGTAACAGGCATATGTTAGAAAAATGGAAACATAGAAGTCACCTGTCACCCAGCATTGTTTGTCTGAAAGTTACAATTTCAATTTTTCTGTAGCCAAAATTGTTCAGAAAACATCTCCCGTTGGTGAATTAGATTTTCTAGAGACTTTTCACATTCAAAAAATCTTTCTGTTCTAGATAACGACCCTAATTCCAATCCATCTTTGCCTTCAGACTTTAAGGAAATTGTTTTAGTTCTTGTTTCATCAATAAATGGCACCAGTAGCTTAACTCCTGTCCAGCCATTCTTATCTTATCTGATCACTATAACTTACCTCATTAATTTGTGCTTTGGCAGCTGAGGATGATGGTTCGGTAAAACCATCGAAACCAGTTCTGTGAAAATTTGTAAATATAACACTGATTTTTGCTGTTTGACTTCTAAATTAATACTTGTTCAGCTTGTTATTTTAGCTTAATTAAAAAATATGTTTAAAAATTATAATTTTTACTTAAATGCTCTTTCATTTCAATTCTACTGATTTCTTTCTTTTAAATTATCATTTAGTTATTATTATTATTTTTTTTTCCTTTTCTTTTATGCAAAAATATAATGTTTATTTTTTACCAGTTCTTAGTTCTCCTTTTGTAAAAGCTAATTTTTTTGTTTATATTTCTGTTATTACAGTTTAATAGAAATTAATTTATAAAATTTTCTACAGGCTTATTATACTATTACTGCCCTTAATTTAGAAAGGGAACTTGCTCTTGAAGAAGTAAGTTTTGCTTTTCTTTTCTTTTTAGTGATTAAAATTTTGTTAATGTTCAAATATATATATATACTTTGTAAAAACCTTGATATATTATTTTCTATAAAAATTTTGAAAAAATATTTTATTTACCTGATTTATGAATCTTTGCATATATAAAAAATTTTTGGTTTCTCCTTTAGTTTTGTTACCCTGTTTTCTTCCTTGATAAAGATACATGGTTGAAAAACTATCTGATGAATCATCCAGATTTGCAGTTGGAATTTGCAAAAACATTAGATGCTGTTTGCCAAAGTAGTGCAGAAATTCAAGAATTCATTAGGTATTTTTCTAGTTTATAATAAAAACTGAAATACTTAGTTACTGAACAGTAATAAAGAAGAGCTTCACATATCTGCCAATTGAAAGCACAATTTATTTGAATACTAAAGAGAATTGAGGATCACTGGGTTGCCTTTTTTTAAACCAAATTCATAAGTATTGTAATACAATCAGAAGTCGTTAATCCGGACTCGTCGGGACTTCGGCGATTCCGGATTATCGATTTTTCCGGTTTATAGATCATCAGTTTAAATATGGTAAAATGGCATGAAGAAATTATAAAATTAAAAATATGAAACCGTAATTTACGAAATAAAGAACAATTATGATCTAAAGTGTATCAAAATTAAAAAAAAAAAAAAAAAAAAAAAAAAGCTTAATATTTATTTGTTTACTTTATTAAACATTTCTTTCAATGTAAGTTGTTTAAGTTGCTTCGTTTTTTATGTGATAATGCATTCTCTTTAATTCTATAAACATACATAATTTCTTGTTCAGTTACAAAGTTCCGCTGTTCAAGTCCTATAATTGCTGTGCCGAGAATACTGACTAATTTGTCAATCGAAATTTTTTCGTTTTCAATAACCTCTGTTACTTTCTTCTATCGGAAGCGAATTATAATAACGAGGCATTTGATTTAAATCATATCAAAGACGGAGTATATCAGAATGAAATACTACATTTATTAAGCAATTATAAGCCAAATAAAATAAAAACATCTGCCCTGAAGATAAATATAGTGCTGACAGATCAAGTTCGAATTCATTGTGGGCGGTGTTAAAGATAAACAAAGTTTAGATAAACAAACGTTAAAGTTTAGATAAACAAAGGATATGCCTTTATTCATTTTTTTGCAGCAATTCCACTTTTTGTTTAATGGACTCTGTACCATACTTTCGCTTTGTAGATCCGTTGCATATTAGTAAATATAAATCGGAAATTCTATTTGACATAATTGAAAGTTCAAGCTTACTTTTATAAAATTGCTCTAACAGTCTGCAAAAAATAATAAGCCGGATCCAATTTGAAGATTAAGGAACAACGCAATCTGCAACATTAACTGAAATAGATAATTAGATGTTAGCTTATACCGTCCGTTATACATTAAACGCGCATTCGTAAACGTATTTTGCGCACGCGCACACGCAAATTCGCAGCCGTAAAGGTCTTACGTGCATGCGTCAACGCGACGCATGCGCAGAAAGTTTGTAGCTTTGAGGTCCGGATTATAGATCATTCCGGATGGGTGTCCGAATTAATGACTTTTGAATGTACAACTCTGTAGTTTTATTTTTACATTTAATACAGGGTGTTTCAAAACAAATCACTCGGTTTTAAATTCATATATCATATCATGAAAAATGTTGAAGATAGAAACTTGAGATTAATTTTATATCATGTGGCTAATGATAAATTTTTTACAAACTAAATTAAAGGTGCTTAGTATGTCCACCTTTGGACGCATACTATATGTCTATACAAATTCATCCCAAACTTTTGTGAGCATATCTGTATCTAGTGCTCCCATGGCTGTCAATATGCATATCTTCAGTTCAGCATACGTAGTTGGAAGTAGAGGCACTTAAACAGAGTAATAAATTCCCCACAAGAAGAAATCACTTAGTGAGAGGTCTGGCAATCTTGGCTGCCAAAGATATTTAATTAAATCATCAGGTCATGCATGACCAATCCATCACTGGATGCATTTGCTCAAAATGTCTCTAACATCCAAGTCCCAGTGGGGTGATGACCTGTCCTACTGGAAAACAAAATTATCTGAATTGGTTTCTAACTCAGAAAAAAGTCAGTTTTCAAGCATATCGAGGTACATGATTCCTGTAACAGTGTACTGTATACAAAAACAATAACAACAAAACAACAAAACAAAAAAGACCATATATCTTTTTCGAAGAAATAGCTCAAAGAACATTAACTTTTGGTGAGTCTCTCTCTGATGATGTATAATTTCATATGGCTGTTCCGTACCCCGCATTCTAAAATCGTGGCAATTGACCTTCCCACCTAGATGAAAAGTAGCCTCATCACTAAATGTGAAGTGTGTTAAAAAATTGTCATCTTGTGACACATTCTGAAGGATGAATTCACAAAACTGCACTCGTTGTTATTTATTACCTGTATGAAGAGCTTACTGCAGTTAAATTCTGAATGGTTTGAAAAACAAACGTCGCTGCAAAACATGCCAGATATATGTTGCAGGAATATCAAGTTCCCTACCGGAATGGTGAGTGGCTTTCTGTGGATAACATGCAAAATTCCATAGGATGCTCTCCATACTTTTGTCTGACATGTGGGGCAACTTGGTGATTTACTTTAAACAGACAATCCTTGTTTTAAAATTATTTGTACCATCGCCTAATGATCTGAGCAGTAGCGCAACCTGTCACAAACTGCATGAAACTCAAGATTTCCCTCTTTCTAACTGTACATTAATCAATCAAAATGGATTAAAAGTTGAATATTTATGATTTTTTAAAATTATATGATCCTTTTTGAAACACCTTGTATAGTTAAAAGAGTATTTTTGTAAAATGAAATGTGAAACATTTTTATTCAAAATTAAGCAGTGAAATAATTTTTTATTTGTTTGCACATGCAATCCATTTTATTTGAGCTGAAATAAAACAATGAAATTAATTTTAATTTATAAAGGCCCCAAAGCCAACATTTTAACTTGTCTTTTTCTATAGCTCTAAAATTGAAAAAGGTAATAAAAAAAGCTTATCCTTTTTTTTTTTCTTTTTCAAGTTGCATACATACTACATGGTGGAAGACAAAAATTTTTTGCTGAGGGAATCAATATCACGTTACCATCTTCATATAGCAGAGGAATTTTTAATTTTTTTGGTTATGCAATAATTCATGCAATAAACTGAGAATAACAGGCCTACGTGCAATACGTATATGCCTTGCCAGTAATTAAGGTGGCCATACATCCCAAATTTCGCAGGAGAGTAGCGAATTTTCTGTCACTGTCCTGATTTTTTACAGCTTGTTTTTCAGTTCCAAATTCATAGCATTTGTCTCAAAATGTCCCGAAAAATGGTAGTGTGAGAGCATAAAAGTTTAAGTTCATATATTATTTAAGTAATGTAGAATGCAATCTGAGAATACAAGTGGTAAGAGACATGCACCATACTGGCTGCATAAACAAGGAATTCCTCTTCTAACATTTACCTTAGAAAAAATATAGTGGGGGAATTCTATTTCTCATTCTTGAATTTCTCTCCCTAACCACCCAACGTACATGAAATTTTTGCTCACAGTTGCAGTTCAGACTTTCATTTTCAGACAACACTGCAATTTTTAATTCATATATTAGTTTGATTGTTATTTGATTTTATAATATATACATATATTTTTTGATTATTAACATAACATAATGTTATGTATGTAATGTTAAGCTTTGCACAATGATTAGGAAAAATATTCATTTGTTTCAGTCTTAACTGATGCGTCCAGTCACAAGGAAATAAAAACTCTTTCCAATACTTGTTAGATTTATAGATTAGAATTATGGAGTTAGAGTAAAACACATTACACATTATTACACGTCATCTAAAAATAATTCTTTTGCCATTTGCTGAAATTTCATTGTAGATATATCCACCTAAAATCATCTTTCTTTTGTCACGTTTAGATTAAAATTTTTACTCAGTCATCATTTTTTGATATTGCATAAGGGTTAAAATTTTGTTTTTAAATCTGCTGAAAAGACGACCTGTAATGACATTTCCCATTTGTCAATGACATATGTCTTTTTAATTACCAATGGTACATTACATACATGCTGAGGATATGTTTTACAGCAATTTATTTTAATTTATTAATTATTTTTACCATTGATTTTTTTCTTAGTAATATGATAAAAAAGTGTACATTTAATGAAGACCTACAGAAGGAATACCTGTTTATTGAAAAAACTATAAGCAATTCCGATGTGTGTTGCAATACATATTCTTCAAAATTTGTAATAAGCCATGGTGGATGCACAGATATCAAACCTCATATAAACAGTAACAGACATAAAATATCAAACTCTGCTGCACATCTAGCTCGTCATAAAAAATTTCTTCAAACACAAGGAAATGGGTGATAAGGAAGTAGAATTAGTTGCAGTAGAAGGTTTTTTTGCATACCACACTATTTGCCACAAACATAGCTTTAGGTCTAGCTTTAGGATTGTACGTCCAAGCTGCTCCAAGTGGAGTTTGAGCCTAAATTTACATGTGTGCAAACCGAGGCTGAAACAGTAATACTAAATGTTTTCATGTCTTACGCTTTAAGAGCTTTGCACAATGATTAGGAAAAATATTCATTGTTTCAGTCTTAACTGATGCGTCCAGTCACAAGGAAATAAAACTCTTTCCAATACTTGTTAGATTTATAGATTAGAATTATGGAGTTAGAGTAAAAATTTTAGAATTTAAATCCTTACATTGTGAAATATCCAATATTGTCAACAACTATTTAACTACTTGTCTTGAAGAAAATAAGTTAAAGAAAGCATTTTTGGTCTTTGTGCCAATAATACAAAGTCTAAACTAATATGAATAATTCTAATATGAATTCCAGCTGATAAACATGGAGAAAATAATGTTTTTGTTAAACGAAATCATAAGGAGGGTTTAATTGGAGTCGGATATTCAGCAGATATTATCCATAATACTATAAGAATATCAGCTGATGTTTTACCATTTGATATAGAAATGTTTATTTCTAAGGTATACTAGAAATCCTGTAATGTTAGAGTAGAAACACTGAAAAACTTTATGCAACTTCATTGAAACTGATTTTTCCATGATACTAGGAAACCTAACAATATGGCTAGCCTCACCTCCTGCCTTTTAAAGGGTATTTCAAATGTTTTTGCCTCTGAAGCATCATCTCAAGAAAAGTGTCCCATGCTTATTTAAAATTTTTTTTGAAAATCCAGTGGCAGAAACTTGGCTATTTTTTTTAACACTTAGGCTTCAATCCTTC